CTCTTGATCGGAGGGGTGGAGACCTACAAAGATTCTCCGATGCCAAAAGCCAGTTCAGAGCAGTGGCTATTTTCAGTAGTAGCCAATAAATGTGACATTCATGAACTATCTACCCACTTCACCGTGGACCGTATTTTGTTTTGTTATGGGGCTGGGATTGTGAAAAAGGTAATCCACGGCCAAAACGGCTCCCCAATAGCTTCTAATTTCTATTACTTTAAACTAGGCTACTTTTCCTTGAAGTTATGTGATTAGTGTTTTGGCGGGCGTGGACGTCCGCCCCTGTGAAATGGGCGTAGTCTTGCGCGCACGGTAGATCCGCCCATATGGGGTCCGCCCATGATGGGCCTTTTGATACGCGTCGGTTTTACTGCGTCTGGTCCGCCCCTGTGATATGGGCGTCGTCTCGTCCGCTGGAGATCAGCCCAATGTAGCTTGGTCCGCTCACATGGATCCTCCTACGTAGGCTGTCCGGCCCTTGCAGATACACCAATATAGGGCGTCTGTTCTTGCGCGACACGGAGAATCCCGCCCAGATGGGGTCCACATATGGGCTCTTTGATACGGCTTGTACTGTTTTATCCGTCGTTGTCCGCACATGTGAATGGGGTCCGTCTCGTCCGCATCGAGATCCGCCCCCAATGAGCTGAGCGTCCGCTCACATGGATCCTTCCGTACGGCGTCCGGCCCTTGCAGATACACAAGCCCCCCAAGTCCTAGTGCCCGTAGTGAACGTAGGACTTTGGGTCACCTAACAGATAAGATTTGATGCAGTGGCTGTCGTGCCGGGCTGCTCTGTGATGATAGGATTCCTTGTGAGTTCTTCAAAGTTTTTCTTATAAAGAGGTTCGGCCCGGTTGGTAGGTGTTCCTCCCTGCAACAAGAGGGTTAGGAGAGTTTATACTGGGTCTAGGTTCAATCTTTGGTCGGCTCTTCAATGCATGAGCCCCCGGCGTGTCTTTTACGATTGCGTACAGGCATTGTCGTAAGTCGCCGTAGCCTCTGGAGTGGACTCCGGTATATCTTTGGGTAGGCGATCATTGGACAACCTGACGGTCCTTCTGTACGGCGCCCGGTATTTCGGGCGTCTTTCGTACGGCGCCTGGCACTTCGGCGCCCTTCGTTCGGCGCCCTTCGGCGGTTTCGGTATTTCGGGCGTCCTTTGTACGGCTCCCGACACTCTCTGGTACAGAAAGAAACTTGCTAAATGGAGAAGAAAGTATCTATCCTTTGCTGGCATAATCATTCTTTTAAAATCAATCATTACAACCTTCCATTGTTTTACTTATGCCATCAAAAGTTAGGGATGAAATTAATAGAATTCAAAGGGAATTTGTATGGAGTTGGGGATATAGTTGTAGGAAAATTGCATGGGTAAGTTGGGAAGATATGTGTAAATATAAAGAAGAAGGTGACCTAGGAATTAGAGTTTTAGAATCTTTTAACATAGCTTTATTAGGAAGATGGAGATGACGATTGGAAAAATGATAAACATAGCTTGTGGAAAGATAGATGGCAAAGAGAAATAAGAATAGTTCTTGGAGAAACTTTAAATCTACACGTAAAAGTAATTATGAATCCATGTGGTGGAGAGAGTTAAGGAAATCATGTAGAAAGGAACAAAGAGAAAATTAGGTTGATAATAATGTTTTTTGGTTTAGGGGAAGAGGAAATAAGTGTTTTAATAATCGGTACCGATTTTGTGCAACAGAGTTAAAACGAAATCGATGGTTAAGAGCGGAAAAGTGTGTTCGGTCAATAAAATGGTTCCTTTTAATTTTCTTGCAAAACTTTTATCGAACAGTTGATGTGCTAAAAGTTTAAAGAGTGTAGGGAAGAGAAAAATCACACAAATGATTTATATCCTGGTTCGAATCAAAAGATTCTACGTCCAGTCGTTAATCACTATAACGAATGATTAACTTTTTCACTAAAATCAGTTTAACAATTATAATAAGATAAATAGAAATTAAGAACAGCAGAAACCTTTCGTTCGAAAAACGAACAAAATAACCTTCCTTCGACAAACGAACCGGAAGAGACAACTCTGCCAACTTAAAGAGAATCGCTCCGACCTTTGACACATAAAGCGCGAGCTTCTCCTATTCACAAGACTTGACAAGAGTAAACACTATCACTTAAGAACTTCCTCAAACAAACTGTATTCTCAAATGGCATAGATCCCTTTTCACTCTCAGAGAGCTTCCCTTAGGCACACAGCTCTAATACTCTCAAAATGAAAAGATACTTCCTAAGAGTTGTGGAAAACACTATTTATAGCCTAAGGTTCGTGCAAGGTCAGAAATTGAAAAGACATCTCTTAACTGCCACAAATAATCTATTATCATAAGTGATAATCGATTATTTGTGTCTGTTATGGGGTTTTCAAATTTTCAAAAAGTGATAATGGATTATTCTGATGGATAATCAATTATTTGTGCAACTTGGACAATGTTAAATTAGACAGTGATAATCGATTATTCTGAGCAATAATCGATTATACCAAATAATCGATTATCTGCACAAAGACTCTCTAAACAGGAAAACCTCTAAGTGTTCTTTCATCAACAAAGTAATTCCTATACAATTAATTCTACAAAATGCTTTTTTAAATAAATACAACAAAAGTCTTCACGTTCTTCATCTTGTATAGCATCATCAAAATCATAATATCTTTAAGACACCAGTGCTCCTCATTGGTAACAATCTCACTCCTTTTTATGATGATAAAAAAATCCCTTGTTTAAAAGCATTTCTAATTTCCTGCATAGATTTCAAACTTACAAATATATAAACATGTTTGTAATAACTGCACTAATTAGAAGTTTTCTCCCCCTTTTTTATCATAAGCAAAAAGTAAATAACTGCACTAATTATTCTAAGGATAATCAATTATTTGCGCGACTTTGACAATATTAAATTGGACAGTGATAATCGATTATTCTGAGCAATAATCGATTATTATACCAAATAATCGATTATCTGCGCAAAGACTCTCTAAACAGGAAAATTTTAAGTGTTCTTACATCAACAAAGTAATTCCTATACAATTAATTCTACAAAATGCTTTTAAATAAATACAACAAAATTCTTCACGTTCTTCATCTTGTAGCATCATCAAAACCATAATATATTCAAGACACCAATGTTCCTCATTGGTAACAATAAGATCTTGTTTTAGGAAGATAAATGGCTTAACTAGGTTTCCTTCTAAAAAAGTATCAAAGGTTTTATGCAAATTCTTTTTCCAAGGATGCAACAATAGGAGAAAGGGGTTTTGCAACAATGGGTCTTTAGAATGGAAATTGGAATGGGGAAGAGAATGGTTCAAATAGGAGAAATCAAAGGTTGATATTTTAATGAATGAGTTAGGCAAGAGTTTAATAGATATAATGAAGGAAGACGAGTGAGTTTGGAAGGACAGTAACACTAACATTTACACATTGAAATCAACATATAATAAAATTAGAAAATGAACTATGAGGGAAGATACAAATCAATATGAACAATTTTGGAATATCAAAGCATCACCAAAGGCTTTACATTTTGCTAGGAAAGTATTGTTAAACAAATTGTAACTCGTGAAAATCTAACCAAAAAAGGGGTGGATGTCGTAAGTTGAGAATGTGTCATGTGTTGGAAGGGCGAGGAAATAGTTCAACACCTATTCTCTAATTGTTCTTTAACTATATATCAATACGGAAAATTTGAAACATGTGTGACAAATGGTTGGGAATTATCACAACACATCACAATGTAGCAAAAAAATCACTTCCAACAATTTAGGGCTAACCACTAAAAGTATCAATTTGTGAAAGTGTATGTGAATTGCTATAGTTTGGACAATATGGATGCATAAAAGTAACATCACTTTTATCATGCCCAATAGTCTCACATCGATTAGGAGTCGTAGTAAAAAACATTTTAAATACTTTATTTTTCTACCCTTAGAAGTGCATTTTAAAAAATAAAATTGTGATGGAGCATAGGTTCCACAATAGAAAATACCTCAAGACAATTATTGTGATCTTTTAGAGAAACCTCTCATTAATAGTCTACCGTCACTAATAAAGCTATCATTTACTTGGTAAGAGAGTCGGCCCAAATCCACTCACATGGTTAAAGGTGACCACTTACAACTCCATTTAACAGTCAACCCATCTACAAAACCTAAAATTAAGCCACAACTCACCAGTCATAATTGCAATAAACACCTCTCACATGAAAATCAAACTTATGAGATTGGAGTTTTATATACATATTCAGTCCAACAAAGTCATATAACTCGACTATGGTCATTCAACTTTATTAACCTAAAATGATTAAGAAATATTCTAAAATATATTTATTGATGCACATATTCATATATTATTACACTAAATAACTAAATATCTATAATATGATTAAATATCATATATAGTAATATTTCTTAATATTATATATTTAAAAAATATTTAATAAAAATTATTATATCTTTTAATATTATTAATTTATCCCATAAATTATATTACCCAAAATTCTATAAATAGTATAAATACACGTTGTATTTCAATATATATATATATCTATAGATATATATATATATATATATATATATATAATATATATATTATTCTATATATATATATTCATATATCTATATTAATATAGATATATATATATATACTTCCTCATAATTATTCTCTCCTCCTCAAAATATTCAAGCTCATTCAACATTCTTTAATCCACTTAAATTTTACCGGATGTCCGAAGGACCAACTCATCCAGATATGTTTGAGAAAAGTGTGCAAAAGGGGGTCTCTGAGTTCATCGCTCTAGATCTCGGTGGTGATTCGGTGTAGCAGGTGAATACTGTTACAATATTGTTAGCAAAATTAATAAAATATAGAAAAGGGTTCGAGATTCGTGCCGGAATAAAGGCCAGGCAATCAGTATCATCATCTTCAACCATCCAATATAAAAGGTCACGTGGCGTATCCAACGGTTCTCCCTTGTCATTCAAAAACGCCGACGTTTCGTTGATTCCCTATCCCAGGAGATACAAAATCATGGTGCTAGAGTCTCCAAATGAATTAACCAAATCTCAATCCAATTCCAAGAACTGAGTATGTCTTTCAGCGCCCTCCTCCTCCTTCTCCTCTTCTCGCCGACGATCGGCGCCGTCACCGGCGCACCAACGGCGTACGAGATGCTGGAGAGATTTCACTTTCCGGAGGGCCTTCTTCCGAAAGGAGTGATCGGCTACGAACTGGACCCGTCCAGCGGTAAATTCCGCGCCGATCTGAACGGTTCGTGCAGTTTCTCCCTCGAAGGTTCTTACCAGTTGAATTACCAGAAAACCATCACGGGCTACATATCCGACGGCAGGCTAACAGAACTGCACGGGATAAGTGTGAAGGTTCTCTTCTTCTGGCTCAACATTCTCAACGTCGTTCGCGTCGGCGACGACATCGATTTCTCCGTCGGCGTCGCTTCCGCTTCATTTTCCCTTGATAACTTCTTCGTCTCCCCGCAGTGCGGTTGCGGCTTGGATTGCGGTGATCTTCGACTAAGGAAACTGAAATTGGGAAAAGAAAACCCCTCCCTTTCCTCTGTGTAGAAATTCAATTCAATTTGCCTTTAATTATGATCATTTGTGGACGCTGGTATTGTAGTATTACGTGTATGTATCTTGTCTCAAATGCTAGATTTATTATTTTAGATATATATTATTATTATTATTATATTACATGTCATGTTCAGTATCACTGATTTCGATTTTCGTGACTCCGAAGGACATTAGCCATGAGTAATCAAGATACTCTACAGTTATGTGAAAACTGCATCAATCTGGTCCTTTAAATTTCTTAGTTTAATAAATTGAAAAGGATAGATTAAGAACTGTAAGTTATGTTGTTTGTGCTGAAACTGCAGGGATGACATTTCTAATGTTTGTGCATGAGAGGGTGGTCGTGGAATGCTTGAGCCGATTGTAGAGGTATTTATCTTCTGTAGCTTCTTTTTCGTTTTCTGTCCATTTGGTTCAAATTGTTGCAGAGGATGATATAGGGACACTTGTTTCTGTGATGATCAATAATGCTGATATTCTGTCTTGGCTTTTTGTTATCACAAAGGCCACTAGGGTTTTCTGTCTAGTCATGGATGTTGGAATGGTGATGGTATTATTGCTGATTATTCCTGAATGTGGGAGTAACACTTTGAGACCATGGGGTGTGTCCTCATTGGATTTTTGTCTCCGATTTTGTTTTTTTCTGTCTTTGGTTTCTACATTATTTATTACCCACCCATTGCTGCAAGTGCTTCTTATGCACTAAGACCATCTTTATTAAAATACAACTCTGCATACAAAGAACAAACCATTGTGTCACTAAAGAACAAATCTCAACAACATAAGAATAGAACATTACTCAGTCAAGAACAGATCTCAACAACCCAATAATAATGCAACTTTATCAGCCAAAATCAACAAATTAAAACAAAACAAAAAAAATACAAATGAGCAGATCTCGAATCGTTGGACCTGGTCTTCTACGAGAGATCTACTTCTTCGTGGACGGTGCTCTTCCTAATGTTGGGTGGTGGTGAGCGGCACCAAGGGTTTAAGGCAAAGGGAACACTGCTAGGTGGCAACGACCAAGGCAGTGAGCGACAGTGAGTATGAGTGAGAAAGGAAAGGGACAAATGAAAAAAAAAAAAGCGAGAAAGGGGGAAAATAACTTGGGTGAGTGAGGGAGAAACATGGAGCCCATAATGTTATTAGGAGATTTTGGGATGGAGCTTCGAGAATGAGAAAGAAGGGAGCAGGAGGTATTCGAAACCTGCTTACGATTTTCATCTCAATTTTATTTTGAAGTAACAACTCCTCGCTACAATTAACGATAAATGTGCATTGAACCGTAAGTAGAACAACATATAACAATAATAATTATATGAGGTATTATTTACATGAGATATTTATTCAGAATTGGTCACGTTAGTTAACACCATCCCATTGCTACAGGTGGGCAAACGAAAATTATTTGCAAAACACAAAAGTCAGACAACATAGATTTTAAAAAAGCATTTTGTTTGCTCCATTCTTGTAAGTGGTCCATCATGTGCTTGAAATATGGATATATGAAAGATATAATGTTGACATACATTATCTAGATATCATGATTGTTCAACATACATACAATGGGTGCAGTTATGTAAATAGGTAGATTCTAAAATTATTATTGCTTGAGCCGTATAAGAGAGGATACTTGAAGAAGTCGTGTCTAATACACACTATTTCTCTCTGCATGTTAGATTGATTTGAAGTCATATTAAGGAATAACGATTTTTAATTTTATTTTTCTTGTCATAAAAAGTAGTGTGGGAAGACGATTTCAGTTAAACTGTGTTTATATAAAAGTCATATTACTTCATGATGACTTTCAATTTAGATATAAAATTCAAAGTTGTGACTTCGGTTGAAATATGAGAAGGATTTGTACTCTCAAAGCACTGACTTTCAACTTGATGTGGTGAAAATAGGCAAATCATGTCCCTAGAGCACGACTTTAACGGTTTGACACATATGTTTTTATATTATTAATATTTATTATTATTATTATTATTATTATTATTATACACACACACACACACACACACATATATATATATATATATATATATATATATATATATATATATTATTAGTACTAATAATTTTTTTTTTTATTATTTTTCTTTGGAAAATGTTTCACTAAGTCTCAATGACGGTCATTTGAAAATCAATTTTATTTCTTTTTCTAATATATATAACTAACACAAATTACATAATTAAAGTAAAAATTTATTTTTATTTAATTCTAAATCTCAATAAAAATCATTACTTTACAATCATAAAATTTATTGAAAAAATAAACATAAAATTAAAAGATTATTCCCAACCATCTTTAAATATTTACCACTCTATAATGTATATTTTTCAACATTGACTTCTGTGAGACTTAATAAAGTAAAAACCGTAATTTTGAAAATAAACAGTGTTTAAAATCACAAAATATATGAAAAATAATAATAAATTTTTCCAAAAATACTTTCTTTCATTATAAATAAAACATATAAAAGCTTTTCACAATAGACTTATGAAAAAAAAGAAAAAAAAGTAGATCACAAATGGACAAACTTAAAAATCTTGTCTTTTCTCATAAAGTCATTTTAAGATTACTTCACACATTCATTATTCCTAAATTTTGATAATTGAAAACCACCTATGAGTAATTTTTAAAACACAAACAAGGTCTTAATTTATAGTTCTCATTCTAGAGACATTTAATCTCTTACCACACTTAAAAATCAAATATCAAACACTAGTCAATATATTTTTTGTTTAAGACATTTGTCCTCTCACTTGACTCTCACAAATAAGCCTCAGTTAATAAAGTTCTCCGTCCAAAACATCTTTCCTCCAGTATCAGATAAATTTTATTACTAAGAGAAACATTTTTTATTTATAATTATAATTTCAATTTATACAAAATTAATTACTCTAGTTTATATATAATAAATTAAATTTGAATATTGAAAAGATATATATAAAAAAATGAAGAAATTTGAATGAATATTTAGCATTATAGAGAAAAAAGTTATTGATATCATATCCTATATGGCAATGTAAAACTCAGAAAATGATATTTAATGTTCTAATAATAAACGAAAAAAGTGTCACGGAATACAGAAGGGCTTAGCAAATAGAAGAAACTCAGTCTGTAATAGTAACTTTGTTCTGTTTTCATTATATTTGCCAGGACAATGCCACTGCTAAATGTGGAGTTGAGCAGCACAGATTGTGAAAAATGTTCCAAGAAAAGTGAAAAACTCATTCGATTTCTACACCCCAAATTCTCCTAGTAGATTTTGCTAGTGAACTCTCCGGAGAATACATTAGGATCAAGTGGAACATAAACTCTGCTTGAGTGAGAGCTCATAAAAGCCACCCTGAAAATAAATCCATGATCATTTGCCCTGTGAAAAGGTGACTTCGGAATACACATTTCGGAAGGTTTCCAGAATAAGTTTTTTGGAATTTCTGGGACAGCACTTTTAGAAGGAAATTTTGAGAACAAAAATTTATGTAACACAATTTTCATAATGTTATTTTTGAAACAAAATTTTTCGAATGTATGAAATATGTTCTGAAATAAATTTTTTGAATGAAATTTTTGATAAAAACATTTCAAAATTCATAAAATGTTTTTTGAAATAATAACACAAATACCTTTAATACTCATTAGTCTTCTTTACAAATTTTTGTGTTTTGGAAGATTTAGTATTAATTTTCTTTAACCTGTTCTGATTAGATTTCTTATAGTTTGAACTGATTTATCATCTGTTCAAAATTAAAATCTTTTCTCTCATAAAACATATTATTCTATTTAGAGACTATTTTCAATTTCTCGACCAAATGAGCTTTCTTAGATGTCAAAAAATTAAGATATACCCTAGAACTACAATGAGGTGAGTCTAAGTGTTGTAAACTATCGAAAATATGAATAACATCATCTAAAGAAGATATGTCAGTTAAGGAATTAGAACTGATCGACACACCACCATCCCTAGAAACATCTCTATTCTTAATACTAGAAAAGCAATGTACAACACAAACATGTTAGAATTTATGAATTACAGATCCATAATTAAGAGCAATAAACCTTTTTTAAATAGAGCGTTTCCCAATTCCCTATATATAACATCTTAGGTTCTCTTTGTATTTTCTCCTCTCATAAGGATGAGGATAAAGAAGTAGGAAATATGAGTGTGCTCACAAATGAGACCATGACCCCCTTATGTAACCCTTGACAGTTACTTTTCCTAAGTTTCAATAATTATAATTTGGTTTCTTCAACAAATTAAAATTATTGTTGGTCTCTACACAATAAACCTTTCATGACATATTTGCCCTTGACCATATTTACTTAATTAGATCACTTCATAAAGTTGGCTAATAAAATATAACGATCCTAACACATTTATTGATTTGTTATATATATATGAATGACCCAAATTGCTAACAATCTTTCACTGATCACAAATATATATTTTTATATAAATTCTTACAATTGTGTTAGACTTTATGAGCTCAAAATTGTCATATATACTTTGAGTATATCCAAAAGAACTCGTCCAATGGTTATATCCGCATATAGAACCAAAGCAGTTTCTATTGCACCAATCGCAATCAAATCTGACAATGATTACTAATGCTAACATAACCAAATGACATGGATTTATCATGAAATTTGTAGCATGAAAATTATATAAAGGTGACTTGTACACGTCTATTTTCAACTGGTCCTTACTTTATCTCAATGAGATCAATATACAATAACCTTAATATACAAAGTGTAATTTCTAAATAATAATTCAGAATGTATGCATACATGAAAACCAAACATAGAACACAAACACACACAAATGACTAACTCCCACTGAACCAAAGATTCCTCAAACTATAAACACCCATATGAGCAATATACTCATGAAAGATTTTGGGTGTAAGAGTCTTATTTAGAGGATATACCACCAATGAGTTTGTCCCTAAGTGTTTTATGGAAACCCATTCACTTTGTACACTTTCTTTAACAACTAATTTGATGTCACAGTATAACCTAAATGGTCTTTCAATTCCTTTCACAATACCCATCCTTGTGACAAAAAACAATCATATACCTTGATTTGATGCCTCATAGGATGCTATAA